ATCGCGGCCAGCGCAAAACACCCAACGCGGGCAACGCGGCCTCCCCTCCCCCTCCTCCCCACGCCACTGGCAGAACGCGGCGCAGGCCAGCAGAGCGCGGGCCCTTCACACGCAAAGGGCGCAAAGCGTCCGCCTCGTCGACCATCCCGCTCCTTTGGGTGGCCTCACTGCGGCGCAGGTGCACCCACGCCATGGCCACGGTGCGGCAAAGGGAACAGCGACGGAGCGCAATGGCCACAACGTGGGGAGGCCACACACAAGCACACGCGCCGCACCCGCACACACCCCGCCTCTTCTCTCCCGCCGCACCGGGCACAGAAAGCGGCAGCCGCACGCCCCGCGCCACCGCAGCGGAGAAGTAAAAAAAAAGAGTCCTCGTCGCCGTCGACTACCGGTGCCTCTAGCGGGAAGGAGGAAGAGGAGGAAGAGGAGGAAGGAGGGGGAAATGGGGGCGTGTCGGCGGCACAGCGAGCGGCGGTGGGGGCAAACAGGGCACGGAGACACGCAGCGGCAGCGGCAGCGGCAGCGGCAGGGCGCACAAACTCGACGTGAGCCGCGGTGATTTACCCCAAAGAAACAAAAAAAACAAACAAACAAAATTAAAGCAAGTAAAAAGAGGTGTAACCCCAGCAGGACTCAGGGAAACAAAAAAAAAAGAAGATAAAACAAAATTACTTCGGCAGGGGTTTCTTTATGCGTGTCCAGAAGCACAAGAGGACCGTGAGCGTGTATATCTACCGCCTGCACGAAGAAAATAAAAAAAACTGCTCAAGCTCGCACACACACGCACCCACACACGCGCGGTGCCGCCGACCACGCGGTCGCGCCGTCTCGCCAAGACCCTCGTGATCGTGCGGAGGATGGCGGGCCACGCAAATTTGCGGCCCATGCTCGCGCAACGTCCACGAGTTCCCGCGATCTCGTGCGGCGCCGGAAACTCGCGTCTGCACTCTCCCGGCAAGGCCGCTTGGAAAAGGGACGCCTTCACCGCAAACAACGCCGCGGTTCAGCCGGACGCCTTGCCGCGGTGCTGGAAAGTTCGACCCAACGGGAACTCCCCGCCCCGCAGCTCGCCTGGTCCTTCTTGGCTTTTGCCCGTGCAATGCACCGCCGCCTCTGCCCGTACGGTTCATCGCCCTCCTGAACAAGGAAAAAACAACAGCATAAAAGCACACACAACACACCGCAGCCGAAAAGTTGGCGAGGCAAGGCATCCAGCCGGTGTTCCATGACACCGCCCCCGCGAGCCAAGCATCTGCTCCGGCCCAATTCCGAACGCCAGGGGGCTTCTTCTGGAGTTACTGAGGGCCGCAAAATCCCACTCTGGACCCTCGCACTGCTCTCTCCTCTCCACGCAGAATAAATCGCTATTGTCTCCGTCTTACTCGGCGATCGTCGTTTTGATTCGGCGGGCGTGGCGAGGAGGCCAAACTGCGGGGCTGTGTTCTGCCGCTAGGTCTTGCAAGCTCGCCAAGGTGCCGCTCAAACGTTGTGCCCGAGAGCAGCTCATTGGCGGGGCAGCACCCGGAATTGAGCGTGGGCGCCCCGCAGTTCTCCGACAACCCTCCTTCGCCAATCAAGGCCAGGCGCATTGCTGTGCGTGACTTCGCCCTGCTTCATTTTTTTCCCGAGCGCCGGCCGTTCATTACAAAAGGCCGACGGTGCGCCGTCAACTGCCCGGCGGAACTCTCGGCCCATCGGCATGTCCAAAGACGCCAGGGAATCGGCACAGGAAGACGCAAAAAAAAAAAAATCACTTCGTCGGCCTAGTCCAAGGCTCAAAGACGAGCCGCATCGTAACTCACTTGCGGAACGACGTCAAAGGCGTGCAGCGCCGGAACAGCAATGCCGCACGGAAGCCGTGGCTGCCCCATCGCTGCTCACTTGTTCCGCATCGGAACTTGACAGAGACGCCGTGTGGTCGACGCCGCTGGGGAGCAATAGACCCGCGTGCGTAACGTCTACGTGGCTTCAGAGCCCTATGCCTTGCGCCAAACTATACATAATGATGCAGGTAGAAAGGCAACGATGACGCTGAGCAAACCATGTAGGGTCTGCGCAACCCTCTTGCAAGCCCGCAAAGAGGAAAGCAAACAAAACAACACAGAGCAAGACAAAACTATCCGCAGGCGACACAGACGGGCTACTGCGCCTTCTTCTACGCACACCTACCTCTGGGCGTAGCACTTCCTTTGCCGCAAGGTCAAACTGCCCCACTCCTTCGGTGCGAGCGCCAGCCAATCCGCCTCTTCAAGTGGACCTACCGACGCCTCCAGCTGTCGCCGCCCTTCGCGGAGAAAGCAGCGATAGGCGCGGGATTCCCAGTCGGCCTCGTCGTGTTCCTCCGCCTCGTTGCTGGGCAAATTTGAGGCTGTCTGGGGACTGTGGTTCGTAGCGTGTCCTGCGACAAGATCGCGCCGAACACTTTCTGCGTGTGCCTCGTACCACTCCTTTTTAGAGGGCGGGAGAACCTCCCACGCCCCGAGGAGGTCGGCGATAAGGGCTATCGGCGAGGCGTCCGACAGCGAGGCCGTGGAGGCGTGGAGGCGCGCCATGGCAAAGACGGAAAACCCGGTCACCTGCCTCGTGGGGATACCGAAGGCGTTGAATGCAGCACGCGGTGGAAGCTTCATCTCCATGCTTCCCAGCAGATCCGTATTCACCAGATATTTCAACTGCTCATTGGTGGAGCGGAGGACACTCTTCCGGAGCTTTTTCCGACAGCTGTCTTCCATAATCATAAAGCGCCGCACTTTGGCCTCCTGCGCGGCAATCCGCTTCGCCCACAACCGCTGTGCCCCACTCATCGCCCGCAAGAACACTTGGAGCTCATTTACCGCCTGCCGACCCCCCGTCAAGCTGTGCATCAGGGGTTGAAGAAACCCTTTTTAGACCACATACACACACATATCGAGAGAGTAAAGAGAGAGAGAGAGAAAGAGAAAACACCAGCAAGAAGAAACAGCAATAATCCAAGAAAGTAATCGCAGAAGGAAGTCAATTAAAGATGCATATGCGCATATCACAGTGCAAATGTGTGTAGAAATAAAACAGCGTGACTCGTGTGAAGGCTTCCAGTTCCACTACCTCCAAGAAAAGATGAAATATCTGTTGATAAACCTCCTTCCTCCTTGCTTGTTTGCCCCCTTCTTTTTCAAGGAACGGCACCGTGCAGGTGCACATGAGCCGAGGCACGCGACCAAAGAGCCACACACACACACACACACACACACACACACACAGACAGCAACAATCAAGCGCCGCGTTCGCGTTTTTGCGCCACGTTGTACACGCTGGAGGATTCCCTTTCTTGGCCTGTCTCCTGCGGCACCCATAGCCGCAGTGCCGCCATGTCCTTCTCGCCAATCCACTGCTGCTCACTCGGAAACCAGGCCCGTGTTCCGGCCGGCGCCCCGGCCGGAGCGCGGAACACCCTGCGACTGTTGCTCTCCTTCTTCGGGTAGTGGTACTCGTTCTTTGCTCGCCGGTGCCATTCGCCAAAGCCGGCCCGCTGCGCCACCGAGAGGCGCTGAAAAATGTCAGACTGCAAGGGTGACGTGTAGCGTGTGACGCTGAAAGTGTGATTGCCGTGACCGCCCGCCGCCACGTTTGCCGCCGTCGCGGGGAAGCTCTGCTCCTTCGCAAGCTTGTCGAGGAGGTTGCCAAGCGCGGCTTTGGCGTCGACCCCCCCGCCCGCCGCGGCGGGGGCCTGGTGCTCGCTCTTCACGAGGCTGCTGGTGTACAGCGCGGACTCCCGGCTAAGCTCGGCGTGGAGGCCCTGAAAGAAGAGCAGGGCGGACTTTGACGGGGCGCGAAGCAAGCGTTCCTTCCGCGCCACCTCCAGGTACATACCGGCGCGGTGAGGCGGAAGCCGCTCAATCATCTTTATGCAGCTCTGCAGGATCGCACAGAAGCCGGAGACCTCGGCCCGGGAGAATTCCTCCCTCGGCGCCGCACTGCCCGCGTGCGACGGGGGCTGACCATTCGTGTTAGCGTTATCCTCCGCGTCGTGGTGCGCCGCCGCGGCATCCGTCTCCGTCGTCTCTTTTCCGCTGATGCACCGCAGCAGTCTTTCCCCGCAGGGCGAGGGAAGCAGCTTTTTCCCGACCCAGCGCCTCACCGCCCGAGACACCTTCTCCTGCAGCGCCTTGTCTGCGGCGGCGTAGTTGACAAAGAGGGAGGGGGCAATTCGCCAGAACTCCGCCAGCACCGCCACAACACACGCCTCCTCTTGCCCGGTCATCATCGCGTCGAGGAGGCAAATCACAGGAAAGGAGCTGGAGACCTGACCAGGGGTTAGCCGGTTGCCAATCGCCACGGCAACTCGCACAGGCTGCACGCCCTCGCCGCACGCGTGCTGCAGCGCCGTCACGGCCGCCACAATTTGCTCCTTTGACTGCCTCTGCAGGGCATCTAGTTTTCCCTGAAACGCGTCCATCAGACAGGGGCGGAGAGGCCTGCGGAAGAGAGAGAGATAGGAAAAAAGAAAAAGAAAAAAAGTTTGCAAGGGGTTCATTGGCAACACCGTCTCTCTCTCTCTCTCCGCCCCCTCCCCTGTTCCTGGCAGAGTGACGTTTCCCGCCTCAACCGGTCGATGGGGAATACCGTAACCGACCTCTGTGACAGCCCTCCGTGTGTTTGGGATCCTCTTAGTCCTTTTCCTTCCCCACTCTCGCCTTTCGGCCGTGCACACACGCGGCTCCGAGCGGAGACTGCGGCAGTCGTTGCGAGCATCCGCCACGCGCCGCCGCACACTGGAGGCAATGCTGGCCCGACAACACCCCCATGCGTTGTCGCCTTTTTTCTTTAGTTTCCTCTGCATTCCGGAACGCCGCTTTGCAGTGGCCTCGCCGTCGCTCCCTTCCGTTCCTCGCTGCCTGCCTGCCGCCAACGACACCCTCACATTATTTCTCGCGCGTGAGACGACGCCCCTCCTGACGGCTGCTGCACGGCGGGGGGAAAGGCGAGAACGGCGAACGCCCCCCAAATGCACACACCCGCGGCGAGGAGGAGGCGCAGGCTGACGACGACGACGGAAGCCAAGCAAGAAGCAAACCGTCATAGATTCACAGGCACCGCCGCAAGCGACATGTCTCGGCTTCGCCTCCAGCGGGGCAATAAGTGAAGGACATCTCAACTGTTTTTTCCTTTCTTTTTCTTTTCTGCTCGTTCTTCTGTCCATTCGTTCAATCCGTCGCGTTCCCGTTTCACTCCGCCCACCTGCGTCACGTCTCTACCCGCTGCTTCGTGCCCGCTTCCTCGTCGTTCGTCGGGGTGCAGATCGTGACCGGCGTCTCCCCCTGCCCCAGCAAGTCGCTGAGCGCCGCCGCGTAGCGCGCCTTCGCCTCAGCACCGCAGAGGACGTACACCTTCACCGCGCTGCTCGCTCCCATAGCGGCGATCGCCGCCCCGATGACGTGCTCCGGCTCCAGGAAGCTTTGCACGATGACATCGTCCGCAGACCACGCGGGGCCGTCGGGTCGACGAAACACCTTGACAACGCAGAGGGAGTCGAGGATCCCCTTCGCGGCCAAAATTGCCTCCACCCGCGTCACCTCCACGCTCGTGGCGTCTACCAATACGGTGGAGGGCGAGCGGTCCGGGGAGATGCGGACAAACGCCTCGACATCCACGTCAAAGTGTCGCCGCACCGCCTCGCTTTCAAAGAGACGCAGCCACTTCCCCTTCGCAGGGCTCATGGAGGCGGGGAGGAGCGGGACAATGAGACTAGCGTCGGTGTACACGGGAAGTTTGCCGCGACCCAGCAGCTGCAGCACCCTGGCGACGCACTCCGCCTCGGGCGGCAACGGCCCCCCCACGACACGGTAGATGGGAGTCCCGCACGCCGCCGAGCGAGAGACCTGAAGAATGTGCGGGAAGCGACGCTGGACCCACGTGGAGACGGGTTCGCCAAGGGAAACAGCCGGCGAGAAACGTGGCTCCTGTTCTACGATTCGCTCGACGAGCTCCTGCTCTGTGGCCCCCTCGCACGGTATGTCGGCCGCGACTCTCCGCAGCGTCTCCTCCCAGTTGCGGGGGTACAACGCCGACCCGCTGACAAAGTGCGTGGCATTTACCTCCGGCAGCGCCCCCTGCCAGGAGGAGACGGGCTGCGGCGCCCCGGCCCCGGTCGCCGCGGCTTGCATGCGCTCGTTGAGTTCGGCCTCGACCTCCGCCAAAGGAATGCCCGAGGCGGGGGCGTGTCGAACGACTTCTTGCAGAACAGCGGCCAGCCGCGCCGCACACCTCGCCAGGATGCACCGCCGCATCACTATTCCTCCCACACACAATCCCTACCTCCGCAAGCACGCCAAGCGGAGGAAAAACAACAAGACCCGGAACAGCACCAACCAAGGAAGGCAATGAATATCTTAAACCCCTGCAGGCTACATCCGCCTCGCGATACCTTATGCGCTCTCCTCCTTTCCCTCCTCACCCCTCCAATAGAACCACTCCCTCTGCGGCCTCTTTTTATCGGTTTCTCTTGTTGGCTTTCATTTTTTCTTAAACGTGTCTCGCCCACCACATTACCGGCGATGTGTATGTTTTGTCGCAGGGGCATACAAATAAAAACAATATATAAGGAAAATAGTAAAAAAAAAGAAAAGAAATTGGAAGCAACGCACCCCTTCTCTCTCCCTCTCTTTACGTCTTTTTTTTCATTCTGAGTTCTTCTTTGCTCAGTGCGTGTTTTCCTTTTCCTTTTTCATTGCTTTTTCTTCCTACTTGTTCACACGTAATTTCATTTACACCTCTTGGCTTGCGGTGACCTCCTTCAGTGCAAACTTCCACAGTTTCTGCTTTACCTCGTGCGACGCGTCTGCGGGGTACGCAAAGGTTACTGTCTCGCGCTTAGCGTCCTCAACGACGCTGCTAGCGTTGGCAAAGAGATCCCCCATATTTTTCCTCAACACCTCCAGCGCCGAGGGCACCTGGGCGGTGGGCCTGGTGTACCTGAACGGGTTCCTCACCGTTAGCGCAAACGTGACGGTTGCCGGTGTTGTTCCGGCCACAGCTGCTGCCGCGCGGGGCTTCGCTTTCCCTTCGGCCGATGTGGCGGCCTCCGCGTTTTGCGCCGCCGCACCACGCGGCAGGTACACCTTGAAGACGGCGTGTGCATTTTTTCGGACAGCCTCCAGCGTGTCCTTCTCTCTTTCATCCTGCAGCAGGAGACACCGGCCACTGTGGGAGGCGCGCGCCGTCCTGCCGGCGCGGTGCACAAACGTCTCGACGGCCATGTTGTGCACCGGCAGGGAAAGCATGAGCACAACGTCGACTTCCACAAAGTCCAGGCCGCGGGCGGCAAGATCGGTGCAGAGGATAACACTGGCGGCGCCGCCGTTAAAGTCTTCCAGTGCGGCAATCCTGTCAAGCTCGTCCTTGGACGGGCTTAGCGAGCGAAAGGACAAGTCCAGTGGCTTGGCCGCGAGCTCAGCCTCCAGCCGCTCAATCTGGCGCCTGGTGCCGAACACCACCGTGCGACCAAACCGCTCCGCGGCGAGCAGGCGCGCCGCCGTTTCCACGCGAGACTTGTAAGGGCAATGCATCGTAAAGCATTCCAGCTTTTCTGGCAGCTTCGCTGTGCCGACGGTCACAAGTTGGTAGTAGTACTTCTTCACGCCGAGGAAGCCGGCCTTCAGCACCCAGTTTGGGATCGTCGCGCCACAGAGGACGTAGTGATGGGAGCGAAAGTCAGTCATCAGGCCTTCGGTCAAGGAGCCGTTAGCCTTGCGAATGAACTTGAGGAGGTTCCGCATGCGGCGCCCAGCGTTGGAGAAGCGGGGGCCAAGCGTCAGGTCCACCTCGTCTATCACAATCGCGCGGACGTCAGAGGCGTCCACCGCGCCCGCCACTAGGGCCTCCGCAGCGTCGTTGCCCTCATTCTCTTCCTCCTCATTCACTTCTTCTTCTCGCTCCTCCTCCTCCTCCTCCTCTTCCTCCATGTCGTCGCTTGCATCCTCATTTTCGTCCCTTTCCGCGTGTCCCCCATGCTGGCGTCCTCGCTTCACCCCCTGCTTAACGTCATCAGACTTCCGGCCTCGGATGGCCGCGTCCAGGGCGGGCACGGTGCCAATCACGACGTCGCACCGCTGCGTGGTGAGGTCCTCGAACCCCGCGACGCAAATGTGCAGCTTGGGGTAAAGCCGCTTGAGCACTCCCTTAGTCTGCACGGCTAGCTCGTTGCTGAAGACGAAGATGAGCAGAAACGGACCGGTTGCGGCCGCAGCGGCGTGCGTCTCCAATATCGTGTGTCGCTCAATGATTGGCAGCGCGTACGCCAGTGTTTTGCCACTGCCTGTGCGGCTATGAAGAATAACGTCGCGCCGATGAAAGATGCCGCGGTAGCACTGCGCCTGACACGGCAAGAGGCTGGAAAATCCCATCTTCTTCACCAAGGCCTTCGCCGTGGCGGCGGTCATCAGTGGCGCCTTCCTCCTTTCCTTATTTGCGTCGGCGTCTGAAGAGTGGTGGTCGTCACGGCTGAGTGGGCACTCTTTCTGCAGGGCCTCGAAAGCGAGGTCTACGGCGTCATTGGCGTGGAGGACAACGGTTCCCGTCTTCTTTACCTTGCCGCGGCGGGCGCCGGACGTGGCCTCCCAGTTGTATAGATTCATGCGACTCGTAGGGGGAAAGCGCTTTAAAGTTAATGTGTGTGCGTTTAGGTGTGGGGAAGGAGAAGAAATAGGCGGTACACATTATGGACATAGAATGCGCGTATATAGGCAGAGAGAAGAGGCAAAGGAGCGAGTAGCGTGCGCACCCACGCGGGGCATGAGGAGTGGGATGGGTGCCCGCAAGCCACACGGCGCCTGTGGAAAAGCGCGGCCTCAGTCAATGATAATCACCTCCTGGCAGCAGCCCTCCGTCCCCACGAAAACCGCTGAGGAGGAGGAAGAGGAGGAAGAGGCAGAAGAAAGCGTTATCACAGTCGCCTCGTCACAATCGCTTCGCCGACGCTTCTCAGTACCTGTGCGGGACAAAAACTTTGTCAGCATCGTCTGCCGCCCACGCCCCTTTCCTTCCCCCGCGGAGCTCCGCTTGAAGGAGCCAATGGTGAGCGTCACAGCGTTCATGGCGGTGCCAGGGTGGCTGAGCAGCGTCGCCGCCACAACTTCCATTGCGGCGGTAATCAGCGTCTCCGTCGTCACCGGCTCCGGCAGGGCCAGCGTTTTGCTCGCCACTCCGCCGAGCTGGCTGAGGCCGCGGTTCCCGAGCTTCACGTTGAACGTGTGGCCCGCGACGGTGTTCGTCGCACAGAATTCCTTGTACCTCGTGCAGAGCTCGCTTGCAAGCACGGTCACCCACTTTCGCAACCCCGCCGCGGTGGACGTGGGGGGCGTGAAGGACTTCGACGCCATCAGCGTCTTTGCAACCGACTGTGCTCGTATTGCCTCCTTGCCGTGGCAGCGCAGCCGCTGGAAGGCGTACGCGCCCTCGTCCTCGCCGAGTTCAGTCTGTAGGGTTTGCAATGGAATCAGCCATGCGTCGCGGCACAACTCTGCGCCGCCACAGGCACGGCAAACGGCTTCTCCAAACTTTCCACCAAAACCACGAATGCCGCTGCAAGGGGTGTCCCACATCGCAGAGGCAACGCGGTCTGGAAGAAGCAAGGTTTGCTGGTTTGGCTTGTGCCGTGACGAGATGCTTTTGGCGAGGATTTTGTTGTGTGCGATGCCGGCGGAGGACTCGTAGTGAAGCTCTTGATATATTCGCTGCCGCATGTTCCACACGACGCGCGACGCCGCGCCAAGCAGCAGTTGATGCTCCACGGTGGCCGGTGGGTGCAGAGCGGCGTCAAACACGTCGTGGAGTTCCTTTCCCCTCGCACGCAGCCATGCGTCCACCGCCGCCTGCCGGTCGGGGAGGACGTTCGTCGCGGGGTGCAGGACGTCCTCCAACGCGGAGGGGGTGGCGGTGGAAAAGGGAAGCGTGGATGAGGCCAGCTCCCGCCGGGCCGCCGCCGTCACGTCCAGGTAGGCCTCATCCACGCTTCCCTTTTCCACCGCCACCCCCTCAAAGCTGCGCAGGATGTCGAAGATCCTGCGGCTGGCCTCCCTGTAGGGCTCCAAGGCGACTTTGTGTGTCCCGCGTTGCGGATTCTCGTGGTACCTGTACTCCGTGTCCCCCAGCGCGTAGGTGGCGACGTGGGAGACCTTGACCTGGGGGCACTTCTCCCGAGCCTCTTCCACGGTATCGAAGCGCGCGATGCCGCAGTTTCGCGCCGGGTAATTGACAGCAATTAAGTTTCCCCACTGCGAAAGAATGTAGGGCTCCGTGCGGCAGTCAATGCCAAGCCGCACCGCCTCCACCTGGGCGTAGAAGCAGTCCATGTCTAAGTGAACGATGCATCGCATGGGCAGCCAGGCTGAAGGCGTCAACGGTCCTCTGCACCACTCTCACCCGCGCAACATACACACACATTTATGTGGGTGCATGAATGCAGATGACATGCACATGCGCATCATGTCCATCCCAGGGCGGAGGGGGGGGGGGAAACAAAGCAAAGT